TAAAAACAAAATTTTCTGATATAAAGTGACCGAAACTAGCAAATGTTTTTGTGTTTGTATTGATATATACGAAGATTAACCCATTGTTAAAACTGGCTGGGGCTTTAGCCACAGCTGATGGGTATTAACCCTTGTCTGTCATTTGTCCACATTTTAGTGCGGATTCAACCTTTTTCAAATAGAGATCTTTTTAACCAATTGAGCTTCATACGTAGTCTTAGGACATACATTAGAAATTTAGTTCTGGTTGGTTTTTACTTATGGGATATTAATTCATGATTCTATGGTTATCACCTTTTAAATTAAGCGATTATACTGCCTAAGAGCTCGCAACAGCTGAGTTTCTTAACCCTTGTGTGCCGAGCGTTTACATTTGATCGCGCATATGATTTTTTGGATATTGGATTTCTTCCTTCGCAGAGAGTTGACTGTAATATTAAATTCTAGTAGACTTACATCTACATTTTTTTCGATAATAAAAGTCATAAATTTGAGAAATTTGTTATTTTCGTTATTTAATAAATATTCGAACAGAATAATACATTTTGTCTGAATTTAATATTATTATCATAATTATGTTTGTAATACACAATTATATGGCTTCACTGTACACCTTCAAAACTTGCAGAATAGAGAATAGACTGAATTTTTTTTGCTTAAGGATTACAAATATATGCCTAATGGGTGAACAAATTAAAGAGTCAAAGTAGGTCATGTTCAAAACATTGCTGAGCGTAAGAAATTCTGTGAAATAGAACATAAAAAATGAGTTAGATAACAGAAAGTAAAGTATCACATTATATAGTATATGTTTAAATAGTGTTTTGTCATTAAAATGCATATTACCTGTAGTATACAACTTTGAACATCGGAGGTGCACAGAACACAAAACACTTAGCCCGGGGCGGGGAGATTTGTTTGGTAAAGCAGCGCAAATGTTTTGACCACATAAATAAATGGATTGCTTCTAATTATATTTATTGACATCACAATAACCGCTTAATGCATTGGCTTAAGGGTGAAATAGTTCGTTTTAACAGTTGGCTCTGATTGGCTTAGTTCAGGGTTAATATGAAATTTTATTTGTTTTGGTTTTTAATTTTAATTTTTTTGCGGTTTAGTATGGCTTTGACTTTTCGTATGCGGAAAGGGTGCCTAAGACTGGTTGAAATAGTTTCCATGTGGCCTGTGGAACGGTTAAGCATGGTATTTTTGGGGAGTAGAAAAATAAATGTAAATATGTCGGTTAGATTTGCACATATAAATACTTTGGGTATTGGATACATTCAAAAGGAATACAATGGTGTTGACGCAGCTACATACGTGTGAGTGTTTCTGTGTGTTTGTGTGTGTTGTGGGCACTACGGGAAATACTACTACTTATAATCGATAATTAAAAAAAAAAAAACATAAAACAACTTAAAGCAAAACAATGTTGTTATAAAATTAGTCAATTTTGTGTTTGTGTTTTGTGTTTTGGGTTAGATACAGTTAAGTTTAACAGTTTAACAGCAAAGTTACGTATAACACTTACAGTTCTGTTCAAGTTGAAGTGGAAATTATACAAAAGAGCATGAAATTATTAAATAATACAAAAAAAATAGGCGCAGCATTTAACAGCATCGTGTAACAGTGAAGTAAATAGGACAAGCGAATAGATGGTACATATAGATACGCTATACGACTAAATACAGCACAAAAGGAGAGCGCCAACTGAAGCGAGCGTCTCTCGCTCTCTCAAAAACAAATATGCTTTAATGTTAAGTTCAGGTTAATTATTTTACCAATTCACACGCTTTGTACTCAAGATCTTGAGTATGTTCGCAACTACGTCGGTGCTGCTGTTAGTGCCGCCCAGATCTATAAGGGGAGGAAAGATATTGTTGTAAAATAACGAGTTTTATAAAGTTAAACAGGTGCAGCTGGTGCAGAATTGAAGCTAATTCCAAATGAGGCAGCTTGGAATTAACATTCGAAATTCGACACAGACTTGCTTGTCATATATCAAACCTGGCGTGCGTATGGCATCATTGACAATCGTCTGGTAGGTGGCATCATAGATAACCTTGGCATGGTCCTTGTGACCCAAATGATTCAACATATCAATGCTGGCATTGATCATGGCCACGGGATTGGCTATATTCTTGCCAGCAATGGCAGTGCCAGTGTTACGGGTGCCGGGCTCGAAGACAGCAAACTAAAAGCAAAACAAACTATAAACCATATACTTAAATACATATAACCGAAATACGGTACTCACGTGATCGCCATAGTTGCGACCAGAGATGAGGCCGGCGCCGCCAATCAATCCACAAAGCACATTCGACACAATGGTGCCATACAAATTGGTCATATTCATGACATCAAACTGATGTGGATTCGATACAGCCTGCATGCAAGTATTGTCAATGATCATGTTGTTGTGCTCTATCTCCGGGTAATCCTTGTGCACACGATTGGCCACATCCAGGAAGAGACCGTCCGACAGCTTCATGATGTTCGCCTTGTGTACAGTCGTAACGCGCTTGCGATTGTGCTGGCGCGCAAACTCGAAGGCATACCGTGCCACACGCTCAGCATTGTCGATAGTCACCACCTTCATGCTCTCCACAACGCCTTGGACAGACTCGTGCTCCAACATGGCATACTCACCGTCCGTGTTTTGGCGGATGAGCACAATGTCAACATCCTTGTGACGTGCAGGAATGCCTGGATATGATTTGATGTGCACGACATTCACGTAGAGATCCAGCTCATTGCGTATAGCCACATTGCGTGAGGTTTCTTCCAGGCTATGTGACTTGGTCTCAATGTTTCCCTTGAGCGCAACGCCATTACGCTTGATGGAGGTGATCGCATACTCCAGATCATCGTTACCCTCGGTGGAGGGATCAATGTCGATTACCTCAAAATCAATGGGCGCACCACAGTACCTAAAAATCTCACGCACATAGCCCATCAATTCCGGTCCAATGCCGCCGCCAGGCAACATAGTGACTCCATGGCGACCGCCATATTGCGCCGAGGGTATATCAGTGCCCTGGTGGAGCAGCAGCAGATGCAGTTACTAATACATGTTAGTTTTATAACCTCAAAAATGTACCGTTAGTTTTTTTTGCAACTTAGACTTCGTATGAGCCACATCCTCAGTCTTCTCCTTAGTCACGAGCAGCGGATAGCCCTGCAAATGTCGCAAAATGAAATTCTCAGTTCAGTTTTTGTCCATGCTCCACAGTCAACACATTATGTAATTTTCTTGGCCACCCGCTCCGTTGGTCAACTAGGGGACTGGTCAACTGGTTACAACTTACGCGCGTCAGGAACGGCACCTGGGCCTGCAGTAATCTGTGCGTCAAACGTATGGCCATGTTTCGTACTGTGATTTATTTGCCCTTTCAAGTGCTCCGTGCAAAGCCTCTCAACCCTTTTCTTATTGCTGTCAGTAACCACGGCCAAAACGCGAAACCATATGTTTGCGTAGCGATATTTTTCTCGATATGTTTAAAGCCAAATTATCGTTCGTAAATAAATGAGATATCGACTTGGCAGCACTGGCTCAAATCCGTGACGTCATAAATGTTCTTTAAATTTGGGAGAGAATTATGTGTCTGTCATTACGTTTGTAACAACTGATAAAATCATATCAAAAAATATACCTACATGTTTTAAAAGCATTTATATTGTATTGAATTTGAAACGAATGTGAAAATATAAAAACCAATTTCTAAATGACTATTTATAGTTGTCAATATATACAGTAGAAATGTTGATTGGGAAAAACGCATGCTCATTTAATGCTTTCCATTAAGACTTCAATATTTGAAGCAATTAATGTAGTAGTGATAAATATTTTTGTAATTAACTTTAGACCTTTTTTTTTTTAATTTAACAAGCACACACAATACCTTCATGTGTGCCGAAGCGTATGCAATCGTCGGTGCGGTGTTGTATTATTTTCTGATGTTGCGGTTACGTTAACAACCACATTCGTTTGGAGTTTGTTTTTAAATAAAAACAACTCAGTTGCAGCATGTGTTTATAGGACAACCAATTTTTAGACAATATATTATCAAATGGCAGTGGAACTAGCTCCCGCCGCAATCCCGGCGCAAATCGATATGCAGGAGCCGGTCTCAAAGCTAACATTTCTGCACGCGCTTATCGTAAGTTGTCACATGAAATTAAATACTTCAATCTATTATGTTTATGCATTTTAGGCTGGTGGCGTCGCGGGATTTGTTGTGGATATTGCACTCTTTCCCATCGATACGGTTAAGACGCGTTTACAGAGCGAATTGGGTTTCTGGCGCGCCGGCGGCTTCCGTGGCATATACAAAGGCTTGGCGCCAGCGGCAGCTGGCAGCGCACCAACTGCCGCCTTATTCTTTTGCACATACGAGTGTGGCAAGCAGCTGCTGAGCTCCGTGAGCAACACCAAAGATTCACCATTTGTTCACATGGCAGCAGCCTCTAGCGCGGAAGTGGTAAGTAGCTGCAGTTGGCTAAAAGAACATTATTAACCAACTCTCTCATGCGCCTCCCATAGCTCGCCTGCCTCATACGAGTACCTGTAGAAATTGCCAAGCAACGCTCTCAAACGCTTTTGAGCCACAAACAGCACCAGACGGCGCTGCAAATTCTATTGCGCGCCTATCGCACTGAGGGTCTGCGACGTGGTCTGTATCGGGGCTTTGGTTCAACGATCATGCGTGAAATCCCATTCAGTTTAATACAGTTTCCGTTGTGGGAATACTTTAAGCTACAGTGGACGCCAGTATCGGGCTATGATTCGACACCCTTCTCTGTTGCTCTTTGCGGCGCCGTTGCGGGTGGCATTGCGGCTGGTTTAACAACGCCGCTCGATGTGGTCAAGACGCGCATAATGCTCGCAGATCGGGAGAGCTTGGCGCGACGACGCACCATACCAGCTATACTACATGGCATTTATACGGAGCGCGGCATTAGCGGGTAAACATAATACAATTGATTTGGCTATTGAGTTTCATATATGTATATTGATTATTTATTCCAGTTTGTTCGCCGGCATTGTGCCACGCGTGCTCTGGATAACACTGGGCGGTGCATTTTTCTTTGGTTTTTATGATCTAACAACGCGTCTATTAGACGCCGCTAACTCCGTTGATTAACAGCTAAAATAGGCACATATGTTTAACAAATGTACAAATGTCTAGAACGTTTAGACAAGGCTTGTTAGTTACGCTTCACTTTAAGCTGACATTAACAGCAAAAGATAACTTAGACAATAAAATAAAAGTGTGTATACAATAATATAAGCCAGTTTTTAGTCTTTTGTTTCCCTTAATTTGGAAGCGATTGTCCTTTTTAAAGTCACTGTGGGAGCTCCTTCAGCTAGGTACGCAAGGCGATGTCATCTGCATCAAGGTGTAATTGACTCGACTGTCGATAACCCTCTGATCGCTGTTAATAAATATAGTTAATATAGACTAAATACAGACAAACGAATATTACACACAGGTTCTATATGTAAGCGAGCATCCAGGAGACTTGTTATGGCATTTGGTTCGCCAAAATCATCTGCACCAACCATGGATACATCTGAATCCTCTTCGTCGACATTGGCGTAGCCATTACGCGTGGCACTGCGGCGCTTGAAGTAAACGCAGTTGAGTGGACGGCGGCTACGTGACATGGCATAAACCTTAAAGTGGTTTGTATAAACGCATATGCAAATAAGGGAAATGCAGTTGTACAAATATCAACAGCGATAAGAAGGTAAAAGTAAAAGTTACCAGACCCGCGAGCACAATAACTCCCAATAGCACCAAAATTGGCAACCAAATGTACTGGGCGTCATCTGGATGCTTCAAATCGGCAGTCAATGTTGTGCTAGGCTCAATCTCCATTATGATTGTTGGGTGGCTGGACAGGGATTTAAATCGTCGATTGAACGTCAAAACATAAGCCGGTACCAGTGTGACCCTCTCAAAAACGAAGCAGCTATGAGTTATTGTTATCGACTATAGTTAGTGATGAGCTGTGAATATTCCAAAACTGCGATTTTTATTTTGATATTACTTTTTCGATATTTGTTGGTTACAAAGACCATTGTTTTTCACATCTCTAAGAGCTGCGCTGTGTTTGGTCTCCTTTGCCCGAAAGTTTGTTTATATTCTCAATTTAAAGTCCGCGCTTAAAGCTCTTTGTTTTCATTTTAAATTGTGATGACTGGACCTATTGCTGAAATTGTGATTGAAGATTTGGGCAACTGCTGTCGCGTTTGTCTTGAGCAGCCCCATCGCGCCCAGATGCTGGACATGAATTTGATATATGACGAGGAGGCACAGCTTACATATTACGACTGCTATGAGATATGTACAAAGGATAATATGCTGGAGTGCGGAGAGCATGAGCCAAACAAGCTATGCAAGCACTGCGGTGTGGAGCTACAGTGGGCATATGATTTCTACAAAAAGGTTGCGTTAGCAAACAAGCACTTAAAAAGCATGCAAGTCATTGTGCAAAGTGAAGCTGAAAAGGTAGAGCACACCGAACAGATTGTCGAGCATGTGCTGGCCATAGAGTATGACGAAAATGTAGCAGAAGTTCCGAATATGATAGAAGAGACCTTAAGCGATGTGGAGCTGGAGGAACCGGCTGCAGACCAATCAGCCAGTGAACCGGACACTGCCACAACCATAGCATACAGCAGCGCCAATGATGTTCTGCCTCGCCAACGTTTCTTGGGCCCATTTAGCTGCCAGTTCTGCAAGAAACCGTTTCGCAATCATTCGCACATGCTGAAGCATCAGCTCATACATCTCTCGGATCGGCCGCACTTCAAGTGCAGCGCCTGTGATCGCATTTATCTCACCAAGCAGGCGCTCAAGGTGCACGTGGATACGCAGCACAAGAAGTCGGGCAGCGCCTGCGCCATCTGTGGCAAGGTGTTTGCCATTGCCAAAGGTCTCGAAATTCACATGCGCTATCACAACGGCTTCTTTCCCTTTGACTGCGATCAGTGCGATCGCAAGTTTGCGCAACGCTCCCACCTGACTGTCCATCAGCAGGTGCAGCACGGCAGCGCACGTTTTCTCTGCCAATTTGCCAGTTGTGGCAAGCTGTTTACCTCATCGTCGGCGCTGCGCAATCACGAGTGCACCCACACCGAGATGCCATTCGAGTGCAACGTCTGTCAGCAAGGATTTCCGGCTCGTTACAAGTCAGTTACAGCTCTGTCCTGTCCTGTCCTGTCCTGTCTCCTCATTTGCCTTCCAACTATTCATTTGTAATCTCTGTTGCAGATTGCGCCTGCACGCACAACGCAAACACAACATGCAACTGACACTGGAGCAACTAGAGACCATGCGCAAATTCCATATAATGCGCTCTAAGCGTGTGCTGGCCAAGCTCAAGGCGCCACAGCAGCAGCAGGAAGGGGAGCAGGAGCAAATGCAGGAGGAGCTTGATGACGCAACTAATGACAGCTGAGTGCATTTATGCAACCTGGCGACGTCTCCCTCTCAGGTAGACAGGCAAACATCAGAAACCTAGCTAATTGCTTTAAACACTGTTTAATGACGGACTTGGACGTAGTCTATAAAAAGCGCTTAACATTTATTTACGAATGTTACAAAACAAAAAATGTTTATGCAAAAATACTCTACAAAATGTTGATTTAAACAAAGGATTGTTCTATTTAAAGGCCTAGACGCTAGCGCTCTTTTGTTGTAATCAATTATAGTATTATTTATAATATGAATTTAGTATAGTTAATCTTAATAATAATAATTTATAAAATAATAATCAAGAAATAAGAAGTCGGTAGTTGGGTTTACGCTTCGCAGCAAGTTCCTGCTTTGGGCTTCGATTTGTGAATCGGGGTTTTCTACATTTTTTTTTTGTTCAAGCCTTGGCTTGGCATTTCTAAATTGAAGCCCAGTCCCACAAAAAAAAGTTGACCTTCTTTGACAAATATCACATTAAATGTATTTCACGCTTTTGCTGGATTGGTTAACAATGACTTGGATGCACATTTAGACACATATAGATACATATAGATCATATATTTGGTTAGAGTATTTAGACATAATGAAGAGTACAAAAGAAAATTGGTTAGCTTGACCAGGAATTCAATGGCTCAGCGTCAATGCCAATGGCATAGACTTTATGCCTATGGTTGTGGTATATTCATCCGGATTCTGTGAGGAGCCCGTCGCAGTGCCCGTTGTTGTATTGGCCACATTACCGTGTCCCGTGTCGGCGCGTTTCCTTGACGTTATCTTCTTCCAGCCGCGCAACAGGATTTGATTGCGATATTTGGGCGTGGTAAAGGTATAGAGCAGCGGATTGACAGCAGAGTTGAGGGGTAATATGAAGACCACCAGCCAGGCATAAATATCATCGGAGATATTATATTTGAAGAATACCCAAATTTTCATGGCTATAATGGGTGCCCAGCACAGCACGTCTGTCAGCACAATAAAAAAGAAACGCACCGCAAATTCGCAGTCCAGCAGCGAAAGGGGCGTGGCGCTGCGAGTACGCCAAATAGATATTAACAGAGCCGTATACAGCAGGGCAATCATGAGCAGCAGCAGCAAATTGACGCCCAAAAACACAAAGGCCGAGTACTGCCAGCCAAGGGGATAGGCCTCATGAATGAACAGGGGAAAACAGGTGCCTGAATGGGTGCCATAGAAGTCCGTTGTGCTGGACGACCAGATGACCACGGGCGTAATGGCCAGACCGACGCCAGTTACCCAAATGCACAGCAGCGAGAAGTAAATGATGCGTACGCTGATTGCCCGATGGCCACGAAATGGGTCAGCGATGAGCAGAAAACGTTCCAGCGACATAAAGGCCAATATGAGCATGGACACCTCCGAGGAGCTGACCGCCAGCGTGCCAATTGCCTTGCATTGCCACGAGCTAATCCAATCGCGGGCCACCCTAAAAACCGATATAATAATCAAACTATATGGCATATATATATATGTATATATAGAACTCATACATACTTGTGATACTCGTCCCTGTAGCGAAAGTCCTGCACGCCAATGATGAGCAGGTAGAAGCCCATCAGCAGATCGGCCAGCGCCAGATTTCTAATGACCATGGTCACCGCCACATTCTCATCGCGATAGATGAAACGGCCCCAGAGCACCATCAGGTTGCCAGCTATGGAGAGCGTTGCCATGAACCAGGTGGAGTGCCGCAGCGAGGGCTTACTCAGCAGATCCTTAAACGAGCTAACCCCATCCGATTTGGGCTTGCACATCAGCACATGCGGCGTCATCGAGCAGTAGTAGAAACGATCAAAGACTATGTACTTAAGATTGCGTATCTCATTGAGTGCCGCAAAGTCGATGCGTTCGAACTCGATTCCGGTTAAATTCAAAAAGGATACGTTAAGCGATTTCATTAGATTGCGGTCTATCGGCAGCGGCATGTACGCCAGCGAGCTGTTTAAGTGCGAGCATACAAATATTCTTATTTAATATTTTCATTCAAATAATCTAAAATTCATTTTAAACTAAAAATCCTTTTTTCAACATCTCAAGAAAATTTGACTCCAATTCCTTAAACACGGAGAGACAAACCCCAAGGTCTGCTTATATATCATATTCATAGCATAAATCCAAATTAATTCTTAACCCCAAATGGCAGATGCCTGCCCCTATTTAATGTCGAAAAAAAAAAAGCATTGTTCTTTACTTACAGCGCCTCCAGGTGTGTGTTATGCAGAAATGTTTCGCCAGATAATTCCTTAATGGGATTGCCAATGAGCCGGCTATAAAAGGAGACAAAATAGGAGTGAAAAAAATGCCGTCTATACAGGGCAGAAGATTGCGCATACGCCGCGTAAGCCAAATAATGGGCGCACAGGCATTTTAAGCTGTTAAAAGCAACAAATAAAGAAAAACAAAACACACAAGACAACATTTGTTGACGCTCTCAACTGCCGGATTACATACATGTGCGAAATATCTAGGAGTTGAGTCTTTAAAAAGTTTTCGTTTTTTTCCCCCCTTCTTTTATTACTCGAACGCAACAGCTTTAAAAGACGCACAATAAAATCTACACGAATAACAAAACTGTGTGCGACATAATGACGAAAATTCTTGTTTAATAGCTGTGTAAGTGTGCGTGTGTGTGTGTGTATTCGATATAAATCACTGCAAGCAGTTATAGTTTATCTTCGGGGAGGGGGGGTTGTGTTGGGGAATGGGATGTTGTGGCCTGCTGAGTTGTTCAGTCACAGGAAAAAGCGCATCATTCATGACAGCTTGCAGACGTCGCTCCAGCGCTGGCTCCAGCCGTAGCCAGTGCTCATCCGTCCGTCCCCCTTTTGCCCTGGCGGCAGCCGCTTCCGTTCATCTTCGGCCCGTGCCCGTGCCCGTGCCCGCGCGCTTCTCTGTGAAGTGCAGCAGCTGATGTTGATGCTATTTAGCTCCATTCGTTGCACTTGTCTGGTCAATCAATGCCGGCGTCAACTGAAAACAGTTTGTTTTTATGGCTTGCCGCACAAAGACAATACGACACGCCCCCCGCCTCCCTAACAAAGACAACCCTCTGTCGCGCACAGCAGCTCGTATCCAGCAAAGAGCTAGAGCTGGTAATTGCTCGCCAGCTATAAAGTTGCATTGCATGTTGTTTGGTTAAGGGGATGTAGGTGAGAGGGGTCTGTTGTGTGTGTGTGTGTCTGTGTGTTTGCACTAGCTTAACCATAAAGTAAATGTTTTACTTGCAGCATAAATTGCTTTTTGATAATGCTGTCGCTGCCCCACACTCGACTCGATTGATGCCTGTCCCACAATTTTATGTAAATTCTGCCACAAAAAAAGGGGCCAGGCTTTGTGTCCTGCTTGTCCGGGCATTAAAATGGCTACTTAATGTCAGGGCAGCTGTTTTGGGCCTTTGTTAATTTCAGACGACAATTAACATATTTCACAAGCGGCGGCAACAAGTTGCCAGCCTGTAATAAGTGCCACCCAGCCCGCAACCTTTCACCCGGCAAATAAGTGGCCCATGCCCGGTAATGCCCATTGCTTTTGCTCAGGCACACGCATACATGTGTGTGCTCTGCGGTTGCCTCTGCACGCGAGCTGGCAACATAATGCGTCAGTAGAGCGCCCACGCGCGTACACACACACACACACGCACACACAGAGGGAGGGAGACACACAAAATATGGGTCGGTCAATGCACATTTAACAACATGTCAAATAGATGCCCATAGCTGTATTAGTGCTAGGGCACAACACGAATTGCGGCTTAGAATGTGGCTCAATGGGCAAACAACGACTGCCTGAATGCTCTGCCTTTGAAAGAATTATTAATTTGTTATGCACGCGCTTGATGTGCCCCAAGCCTAGTACAGAGGCCTAAGGCTCGTCTAGTTCAAAAGTAGAGAGTGCAAATATTTGAATCAATTTTGCTGCACTAAAGAAGCAAAATGTTTTTACTTTTGAATAATTAGTTGGGTTAGTCCTGCATGTTTTTTAAATGAATTTCAAGTTGTATTAAATAATTTGTTAAACAAATTAATTGTAGTTGGCGAAAATTAAGAAAAGTTACGATTTTTATTGATTAATTTGTCAAACCGAGGAGAGATATTTCTACTTTTATGGCATATATTTCATTTTGCTGCAATTGTATTTGATTTTTTTAAAAACGCAATCCCAAGATATTTCTGCATTAATATGGGCATAGACAATAAACAGTATGGGCATTCCGCTTCAAACAAATACTAAATTTAATTTAAAAATGTTTTTCTCCGTATTGCATTTTGGACATTCTTGCATTATTCTAAAATAATAAAAATACCCTTTATTCTTTTATCTATATTCAATAACTATATATTTGGTTGGACTTTAAATTGAACAAAACGCGAATAAAAGGGGTTTAAAAAAAATATTTAAAAATATAACAAATCGAAAAGCATATTTTTACAGACCAGCCAACGCATTATAAAGTAAAACAAGTGCATGGCGTGGACCCATTTGTTGGCATTTGGATACAATTAAATGGAAGGTATTAGGCCAATCAGTGGAAATGGCACGTACTGCGCTGCGAAACCCTTCGAGCAATGCCCTGGCATGCGCCATTTGCCGTGGGTGAATTTCTGTGTTTGTCCTGGCATTACAATCATTGGCCGCAATTAACGTCATTGCGCGCTTTAATTCCAGTCGGGCCACGAGAAAAGACACCCTGTACACGCGCGAATAGACTTGCTGGCCGAAAGCAGCTTAGCCCGAAAATGAGCTGCCAGTGCGAATTTTGTTGGAACGGCCAAGAATCAAATTAGTGCAGCGATTTTTTATGTTAGCCAACTGGCCAAAAGGTGGCCACCTCGCAGGGGGCTGAACGGTCTGGTCAAGTAAACAACAAGTCAGCACAAATGTGAGCGGCATTTAAAGGAAGACAGCACACGCACACGCACACGCACACACAGCTACAGATAGGACATATGTATCGGGGAGATACAAAACGTAGTGCCATAAAAGTCACATTTGTTTTATGAACTTGACGCTGCGCAACCGAGAGACTGTTCAAAAATTCACAGCACGCTTGCAGGCGCATTATTTGCATGCTAAAGAACACGCGCACACACACACACACACTGGGGACGGGCCGCACATCAACAGGCAAGCAAA